ATTGTCAAGGCCGCTTGCTGATGGCTTGTGGCGGAGCGACCGGTCACGCAGTGTATATAAACTTGGTGGATGTGTGATGGCTAAGAGAAAAGTTAAGAAGAAGTACGTGACCATTGAAATGATGGGGGTCTTTGAACTCCCATCCAAGGGTTGAGTTCAGGTGCTCTGCAGCGGCAGCTTGTTGGAAGGTGGATCTGACAACACGCGTGAATGGTGTCCCTTCCATGAATGAATATTCAGCAAATAAGTGGCAAGCAGCCGAGATGAAGAATGGTGAATGATAAGCAAAGAGATCGGCAAGTTCTCCACCGATTCAACGTGAGGCTCTGCTGGCATGGAAAAGTTGCACAAGGTAGCAACGGCCTGCTGTACTTGCAATCGGTCCAAAAGTCTCTATGCATTGTCTCTGCTCTGGCTGTTGAATATCTCGCGATATCTGGTGGTATTTATCCTTTGGCAAGCAGTATGCTGAACACGTGACGGGGGACGTGGCGACTGGCAATCACTATGGAACCACGAGATACATAGACATTCGGGGAAAGTTCCTGACTCTCTGAATTAAATTGCAGCCTTGGAGTTTAAGCAGAGATTCGATTCTACATCGCGAACTAAACTGCTCCGGACGGGCTCTTTTCGCTGCGGTTTATTGATCAATGTTTCAGCGGAATACCTCGGTATCAATGACAACCGATGTCTGCGAGCTGGGTATTGGACGGCATGTCAGGCGGCCTTTTGGCGTTGTCGCTGGTGACGAAGACGATACCTTCTCAGGACGTACCAGTTTCAAATTTCATACTCGACCGCTGCTACCACATTTGTGGGCTTCAGAGTCACTCGCAGGGCGCTGTTATTCTATTTATAGCACTAGCACTGGCACATGCCGACGGGGCGTTGAACCAGTAGTCACACGAAAGACTGGTGGTTGCGTCTGCACTTGGTGCCTTTCGGAAGGATCTCGATCTGCCGTTTGATGATACAGTCTATCATTGTAGGTCGATGATAATGAGGGGGCATCTGACTGGCAACACCCGCCGAGGCCAGAAAGCTGCGGCGTAGAGAGGTTTCGGCTCAATCGCTCCTGTGAGGAGATGAATACATCCAATATTATATCGGACGAGTAAACGGTGATGTACAGAGAGTGACCTAACTCTGTAGCATCACAAGAAGTTTGAAATGAGCTGGATCGTTGCTGAATACCACACCCTTGTTGTCACTGTACCTGGCCTCAAGGGCCTGATGCATTGGCCTCTGTGTTTCTCCATCAAACCGTAGCATACTGACTCAGTATTTAAACTGCTTGTTGCAGGTATTTTCAAAGGACGGCAGCATACTAGGTATTGGATTGAGTAGGTACTAGACTTGCGGTGCTGATTCTTCCCTCACCGCGACCATCGGATCGTAGGCCTCCCATCTGCCCTCACAAGCCCTTCTACACTCCTAGAATAAACTTATCTTAGCTTCAGTTTACTTAAGTACGTTCATCCGCGGAAGGCCCTGAGGCCACGTCTGATTAATAAAGAGCTCCATCACATTGACCTCGCGCCTGTAACTCTTTCACTTTGCTCGTGCTGCTCCGCTTCGCTGCGCGTTAGGAGCTACATTTTAAACAGCCCATCAAGCCGTTCAGGATTTACTACGGCAGATGGAATCGAACCATCGTCGAGCTTTGTCGCCATCCTCCTTGGGGCAGTTCGGTACGCGGCATCCCATCAGCCAGGTCTCAAACCACCAATCAAAGTGCGTCCACTTGTCTTCGCAAAACTCCCTCTGGTTCACGGTGTTGATGTCCCCAGTGAGTGCGTGGTTCGTCGACTGGAAGCAGTTCTGGTAGCAGTCGGGCGCCTGGTGGAGGGGCAGTGGCTCATTGTCGGGAATCTTGTTCAAGCCGCTAAACCGAGGGGAATTGTTCTTGGGGCCGCCCGCTGAGACGCTGACGGCAACCGTTGCGAGGACGAAAGTGGCACTAATCTTCATGGTGGTAGGTTGTGTGTGTGTTTTGGTTTACGTCCAATGGTAATGATGGTGGCGACTGTGAACTGGTTGTCGTTTTTATATGTAAGAGGAAATGCACTGAGTAGTGCTCAATGCTCATTAGCACCTCTCTTAATGGTTTGGGTTCCAAGGTTCGCAAAACTGACGAGAGCTCATAATACCATCAGTTCATTCCACAACAGCCTCAACAGGGTATCGCAAAAAGCCCAAATGATGGCTTAGACCTGCTTGTCCCTTTCTCTTCAACGGTCGAAGCAAGAAGATAACGAAAAGCAGCGGCGCGCGCTACAAACGGCCACCAACGGATCGTCTTTGAACAACTACATCCTCTCTTTCCATGTGAATTTTGGTCCTGTTCGTCGAGATATTGATACCTCTAAGATGGAATATTGTCCTCTCTTTCATCTCGTAATTCATCTGGTCATATGCCCATTCCTACACATTCGTTTAAGTGACCCCAAAATCAGAGAGAGTTCATTCAGGACAGGAGCTCGTCGGCTCTGACCTTGCTGAGTCGGACCCAGAGACAGGTGCTATTGCGGCTCTCGGTCCCCGCCCTGGTCCTGCTGAAGGCCGGCGGCACCGTGTGGCCGTTGGGTCTGATGGGCGGCGTGGGGGCGACACGAAAGACATGAACAACCAACACAATGACATAAATCGACACAAAACAATGTCTTGGAGAATCAAAAGAATACCTCGTGGGGCTGGGTATATCCACTACGACAAGAGAAACCTGTAGTCCCTTTAACCCGAAAGGGTTGAGATTGGGGTGTGTCCAAGTCAGTCTTTTTCCGATGTCATCCGGTCCATCTTGGAATTCAAACTTTACTTTTGTTCCCCATTCAACAAGGTAACGTTCATTTACGGCGGAACATTTGTGGGTTTCTGCAAAACACATCGGAGTTACATTTTCTTCCGATAACTATGCTGTCGATTCTCACTTGAGCTGAGCAAGCACTTTCCTTCTACGACAAATCGCAACCCAGCACCTCAGCAATCCGACAACATTACAATACATTTACTTTAACTCAAATCGACCGAGTGTTCTACTAATCTACCTTACTGAAATCACTTCGCTCTAATAAACATCTACAAAATGAAAGTCAGCATCTCTTTGCTTCTCGCTGCCATCGCTACGACTGTTAGCGCCGGCGGACCACACGGTTGGGGACATCCCAACCTGGACAAGATATCTCCAGACAAGCCCTTACCTCTTCACCAGCTGCCCGAGTGCTATCAGAGCTGCTTCCAATCCGAGAATAACGCCTACGGTGGCGGCGACTTCAATACAATCAGCCAAAGGGATTTTTGCGAGGACAAATGGGGGCATGCTAGCTCTTGGATGAAGACGTTCGGCCTTAGCTGTTCAATCAGGGAATGTAAGGATAGGGAGGATGGTAATCGGATGCTTCGCTGGTACAACTCGATATGTATGATCTAAAAATGGCATGTTCACGAGTCTTACGCCAGAGACATGCATGGGTGGAAAAACGGATAGAAGGGAAACACACAGTGCAGAATTACTGTCCGGAGCGCAGGCATTTTGCGCCGCAGCGGAAGGAGCGAGACCCGTTTTCTCTGGATGGATCAGAAAACCCAACTCAGATCCACACTTGTGGGTGCACTCAAATACCCATCAGCCACTGGTCAACGGAGCGCGAGACCTAAATCTACACACCGTGCTGCTACATGACCTTCTTCGGGGTGGGGTCTGTCATACCGGTGTTTACTTATGTAATATAAGACCACCCGCCGACTTCAACCGGCCATGAGCACCTGCCGGAGCTTGCAAAATCAACAAGTTTTAGACAGAAATGACGGAGAAGAAAATCGGAAAACAATCTAGAAGCATTGCGACGGTCCATACTTGTTTGTTATTTCAAAGTAGTGTGAAACGATTTTACGCCGTGTTTGGAATTCACCCCAAAGCGACATGTCACATACGCTCCAAGAACCCCCTAGGGCACTGAATTGCGTGCCATTTCAATATCTTCTGCCTAACCGTCCTTTAGAAAGTAACAGTCTCTCTTGAAGTAAGTGAAATTGGTGTCCAAGAGACGGGCACGTGGGCCTCGACGCTAAACATGATCTGGCAAGTGCGGTTGCCAGACGAGCTGACAGCAGTACAAAGTGGCAGCAGCAACTGGACTACGGGAGCGTAGCTCGAGGATGAGGAAGCATGGACGAGTCCTAAGTCTTTCTAAAAGTGACGGACAATATTCCTGAGAAGTATACCAATCTGCGACTCCGACCTCTGGCCTGGTTTCATGATGCTATTAATCGGAGGGTACGACAGTGGGAAGCAAGAAACCGAGAACGCTTGGAACCACAAAAAAAGACGTGTTGTGTCAAGGTGGTCGCTACATCGGAAAATATTCAGGAAAAATGACCGGTCAGTGGAATATATATACTAGAAGAAGGTTCAAAACATCAAGGACTAGTATCGTGACTGAGTTGTTGATATTGCCCCTGTCGGTATCCGAGTGCAGGTTCTTGTCGTGAAGCCAAATCCAGCACCGTCTGTCTACCTCTACATTTTGCTCGCTGGATAACTTATATTGGCCTGATACCCACCGTAAGCGTGGAATCCCAAGCTGCAGGCGGTCTGTCCCGGCGGCAGGTCGTAAGGCCTCGTGCAAAACGAGAAGGAAGGAGCCATCCGCCCAACGACGCTGCTCCTTCCTAGAGAGAATCGAGCTGCCCGTCCCATCCGCCTCGACCCACCCGCCCTCTCGGTATATCTCGACGTCTCCTCGACTGACCCCTCTTTTTCCTCTTTTCTCTTCTTCTTCGTGCTCACGATTACGGTATGCCCGCCCCCATCAAATGTGCGTTTTTATCGTTTTGCTAACTGTTACTAGAAAAAGACTGCTCCTCTTTTTTAGAAAATCGTACGCATTCTTGTTGCCCGCTTCCCGTCTTCCTGCCCTCGCTGCTCTCGTCGTCGTCGCCGTCCTTTTTCGTCCTTCCTCGTCCTGCGTCGTCCTTTGGCGTCCTTCTTCGACATCATGTCGTGGTCGTGGTTCAAGGAGGTGCTGGTGACGCTCGCAGAGCTGATCCTCGCCATCGGAGAGGTTATATGGCAGTGGTTGTGCGGTTGGGTGCCGGTTCTTCTGGTGGTCGACCTTCTCGGTCACTCGTTTGCTGTGCTCTTCGCCCTGCGTAGGTCATCGCTACTGTCCTCTGATTCATCATCTCTTCTAACTGTGTGTTAGTTCCTGGGATCATTATACCTTACTACACCCTGCCCGGCTCCTTTCTCGCGGTCACCTCTCATGACAAGAACGTCGCCTTCGCCCTCTTGGGTGTTTTTCTCTTCGTCCTAATGATGACTGCCGGCCCGCTTGCCCAGATGTGGCTTGCCGCGCTGAAGATTCGACACCGAGGTTTCCGTCCGCCTTCTGCCGCCGTCTTTTCGTTAAAGACAATTATGCAGGCCAGTGCGAGGCCCGCCCTCTCTGCCCACCTGCTCGCCAAAGGCCTCCGGCCCAACGCCTGCGACCGTTGCTCGCCAAGCCCCCGGGATCTCGAGGAGGGCCGCGCCATGATACACCTCGACCGAATGTATCATTGCGTTGAAAATTCTGGCAAGGAACTGGGCTGCATTCCGGTCCTTGACCACTATTGTTGGTGGTTGTGGGTCCCCGTGGCCTTGCCGACTATCAAGAGCTACCTCCTCTTCATGGTATGGATCGTGGTGTTCCAAACCGTGTCGCTGGGAATTCTGGCTTGGCCTTTGGCCATCTCGGCATGGCATTCGACCGCCTGGCTGTACGTCTTCATCGCGGCCTGCTTCCCATACATGCTGGTACTCGTCCTCGCCGCCCCCATCAGGAAGCAGTGGAGACGTCTGGCCTGTATGGACTCGCCCGGCAAGGAGTACGCACAGTATATCCGCCATCGACCTGCGCCCGCCTTCCCGATGTATGTCAAGCGGTCCGACGGGACGTATGCTCACCGTTTGATGAGCTACAATCCCTGGGATAAGGGAACCATGCTCAACCTGCGGTCTGTTCTCGGAGACAACATCTTGACCTGGCCCTTCTGGTTTGTCGTCCCCCGCCGTGTCCGTGACTACGGCACGGGCGAACAAGACTTGCCGCTGTCGTCCTGGTTCCTTCAAGACGTCCAGGATACGCAGGCTTCTGGTGCCTTTACTTTCGCCATGGCCGGTATCCCGCTGCAGACGCTCGACCCGGCTCGCCATCGACGCGGGTTCTCTTCGGAGGACTAAGCCCGTCGTCCTGGTCGCTGCCGCTGCCGCCGTCGTCGCCGTCGTCCGCCGTCTCCTCCGTCTGCTGCCGCCTCTTCTCTCGGTCTTCTCTTCTGGTCGCCTCTATCGCTAGGGCCTCTGGGCCAGACAGTTCCGCGCCGCCCATGCCCATAGATACGAACACCGCGAGCCGCCCCGGATAGGCTATTATTTTCTCTGCCCCGCCCCCCTTGCCCCATCCATCCACTTGCCGCCCTCCCAAGTGGTTCCCGAGGAGTCAACCTCATTAAAAAATCAGCCTGACATGTCGCACCTTCACGTTGGTGTCAGGTGTCAGTACCCAAAATCGCGATTCGGGGGAATCGAAGATGGGGAAACTGACGCGACAACGGATCACAAAGCAAATCAATCATCACATCACAAATCGATCCGTACTTTGCGAGCTATTTCATCCAGAAGCATTTTCAAGTTGTCAACCTTACTCCACGCTCGCGTCCCTGGCTAGTCAATACATTCGGCCTCGGACCTTCTCAAACAAGCATCAAAGTCATCATGGCAACACTACCTTGATGCTTCCGAGTCTCAATATCACTGGGGCACTTGAGACTCGACGACACACATCATATCCTTTGGTTCTCCTCGGGGCGGAGAGATCCTTTTGGAACATTCATTACTTCACTTCAACCCAGTACTTGCAACATCCTTTTCAGGTCCTGGGAGGTCGTCATCATACCCATGATCAACCATTCACATCACGGATTGTCTCTGGGGCAGGAGAGACAATCGATCCATCATCACCTTTCTTTCAACCTTGAGAAACATCTTCGCAAAATCAAACCACTTCATTTGAAACCACACTCCGACATCGAATTTGGCTGGCAAAGCTCGAACGCTAGTCACCTTCACACGGTACAGCGAGTCCATCTCTTCGTTGGGTACGAACAACCTTCTTCGATCGGCTACCCAACACGCATCTTGGAACAGGGTTGGCGACCCTTCCACAAGTCAGACCATCGGGTTACTTATCTCTCTCGGAGACGACAGATGCCAGAACTTCTCGCAAAACCTTCGCTTGGCGTGCTTGGAATAGTACTGGCACCCTATGTTCCTCAGCAGAGAAACTCTGGCAGACAGATCTCTGGGGCAGCAGAGATTGGTTCTTCAACACTTCAATCCTTCACACTTCTTCTTCTCTATGGGGCAGCAGAGACTACAAGATTTCACACAATCAGACTTTGATCTCTAGGGCAGCAGAGACATGTCGTTTCCACAACATCACACTTCTCTTCACACTACTCTTCATAATCTGGGCAGCTTCAAAGTTTCGACTCTATTTCATCATCCAGAATAATCCCTTCGAGGCTTTCTGTGTGGTATCTGGGGCAGCAGAGACACACACTACCATCCAACACTACTTCTCAATCACCCATCACGTCGTCCCTAGGGCGCAGAAACTTGACCTTTCTCATAATTATCGGTCAGACAACTCATCCTTGAGGCGGCAAGGATCATTCAATGTCACACCAAATTTGGACACACTTTCTTTGGCGGCAAAGATCCGAGTTCGCTCAGTACAACAAATCCTCAATTTCCCATCCTCGCGCTACTACGGGCGTGAATATGCAACTTCTCAGGCCTTTATTACACTGAAACCTTCTTCACTCTTCGTCTGTGGGGCAGCAGAGACCTTCTTTTCTCAACCCAGCTGAGGGCATTCCTCATCAATCTCCATACTCAACTCCTCTTGGCAGCAGGAGGCCCAAGATACTACGATTCCATCGTTGTGTTTGAAAATCACAAAAGCATCAATGTTCAACCAAAAACACCACATGAATTTCTCTGAGGCAGCAGAGAATTCTCCAAACCCTTTGCAGTGTTTTCAACGTCTTCCATGTTGAAAAGCCAAACAAACCAACCACATCAATCACATTGCAAGTCTCTGGAGCAGCAGAGATTCGCAAACCCATCAAACCCTACTTTCCCATCGTCTATGACGGCGAAAAACGACTTAGCCAATTTTGAACAACCCAAGTCATCATTGGCATCATCTCCTGGGCGGCGGAGATGTCACCCTACCCTACTCACACGTCTGCGCCTTCAACGCGGTAACAGAGCAGTCCGATTCATCAACATGCAACGATCGGCATCTTATTTGTGGCGGCAGATCAATACTCATACCATGCACTCTTCTGTGGCTCGTCTTCAGGCGGCAGAGACTTGGTCACTTGGACCCAATCACTCTCACTCTCCTGACTCGGCACTTTCTTGCCAAAGACTAGAACATGCATTCCTTTCCTTGTCTATGACATTTCCAAGACACTCAAACTTCAAACCAGATATCTCTGAGGCGGCAGAGATTTCGAGATTATTCATCTTCAACACACACACACACACACACCCATAACGGCATCAAGGCGAAACTGACTACTTCATCTCAACCAAACAAAGCAATGACAACATCTCTGAGGCGGCAGAGATTTCGAGGTTCTCCATCTTCAGACACCCACACACCCACACACACTCGCACGCAAACATACACACAATGGCGTCAAGGTGAGGCTTACCACTTTACCTCGACGAAACAAAGCGATCGCAGCATTTCTGGGGCATCAGAGATTCGCGATTCATTTGAATTAATCAATGGCTTCGTCTCAATTTCCTGGGCGGAAGTCATTGACTATTCTCAACACCACTCCTTCGTCACCTACACGACTGGCGGGTTTCATATTCATCCTTAGCCACACTTTTCATGACTCTGAGGCGGCAGAGTCATCCCATCTTCTACGAGCTTACTTTCATCATGGCAGCCAGTTCGAAAACCAGATTCCAAGATGTGCAAGGTTCGACACCATCACAGACTCGGCACCTTTAAGGTAGAGCAGCAAACCATGTTGCGGAACCAAGCTTCAGCTCAACCAATAGCATCCATGTTCAGCGTCTATCCCAAAGCAGACGCACCCAGTACGGTTGCACGATCCCCATGTCACCATCTGCAAGACCACGGTGAGACTAGGCGGCTCCTGGTACCTTGCGCGAGTACAGGAGGCAAAGCCCGACAATTGCTGCAGCCAGCGAGGAATCTGGAGCAGCTATCATCGGGGAAAGCTCAATACCAGAGCATTTCAGCTCGATTCGGCTGACCCTAGCAAGTAAATGGCAGCACTTTCGCACATTCTGGGCAATGTCAACACCACCCACGGCCTCTTCTCTGGAAGAACCGGATTGGCACAGAGAAGCGACTTTGACAGGAAGTCAATTCATCACCTACAGATGCCGTCTTCTTCCAAGATGGCACATCAAAAGTCCACCGATGGGACGCCCCACGGTCAACATCGGCTTGTCTGTCAATCATGTCGTTTGCACTACACCTCTAGAGGCTAACATTTCTCCAGGCACATTTTGCGGACGGCCGTGGCCTTCAGACCGAATTTCATTGAGGTACATTATCAAAGATGGCATTCTGACCACCTCTCACGCTTCCAAGGCTTGCTGCTGACATTTGAGAGATCATGGCAAGTAAAACTGGAATATTCACCTGCCAAAGCTATCACCTCCGGAAGGCCGAATCCAAATCGAGAGAATGGTAGTAGCAGATGGTTGAAACCGCGCAGGTACCGAAGGCCAGTATTAGCGCAATATCCCTAGGCATCGCTGCAAATCTAACAAGCTCTCCAACAGACACATGCGCATGTCATGGACCGATACCGACAAGCCCGAGTACGCTGCTTCAAGACCACAAGGCCCGCTACCTTCAAACCATGCCGAACCCCGAAAACAAGAATGAGCAGACCGCGGAGGGTGTATGAAGGACTTTGGATGGATGAAGGGCGGAAATGGACAGAGGGCTCTGCACAAGAGGAGGTCACAGGAGCGCATTGGCTACAGTGATGCGAGGGGCACGCAACACACGTGTAGAGCTACGAAAATGGGCAGTTTTTAGAATTGGGCTGTTCTTATTGGGTTCTTGTTACGGCGGTGTGAACTTCAATATACCTCTCTGATCCCAATCAAGGACGGTTTTGGTGATTTTCTCGGCCATTTCTTGGCCAGTAGTGTGCTCCCACTCGTCGTTCAACACCATTTGAAATGAAACATCGTCTACCAAATCTGCGGTGATTAGAGGGGTACTTTGAGACGAAATGTGCCGGAGTAGAAACCCCGCAACCTTCTCATCAGCTATTCCAATGATCCAGACAATCGCATCGTCATCAACTGTAATGATACCATCATTCTGTGTCAGCAAGCACTCCAATATCTCGCGCCTTTTCACCGCGTTCGAGGCCTCTCTCTGCATGATGCCCAGCATATCGACCGTGACGCGGTAACTCTTATCGGCAGGTTCCAATATCCTCCGAACTACCGTCATATTACCCATCCCAGCAAAGGTTTCAAATGCTTTCTGGGTGACTGAAATGGTGCGTGTCCTCGCCCAGGTCGTCATCAAAGCCGAAATACCTCCTCTTTCCTCAGTCTCTTCTGATCCACCACTCATCGCGAAGGCCATCCCTGACGTGATGATTCTCAATTCTTCACCCGCGCGATTGAGGATCAGAGACGCAGTCTCAGTACTACACCAATTGAACATGTAGTCGAAGCAATCCAGGCTGAACGTCAAATTTGGATGGTTCAACTCCAGAAGCTTTCGCATCATGCCCCCCGCTTCGACTATTGCTAGAGAGGCAGTCATTTCCGTGATGCAGAAAGTCTCTCCTCGCCTCAGTAGCTCCTCCACCTCGTCTAATCTGCCGCGGACGATGAGGGTCTTGAAAGCGTTGTCGGTCAGGGTCGGGAGTTCGAGGAGAAAGTGCCGCATGGCCGCGAACTGGCCTAGGTTTCGAGCAAATTCTGCTCCGAAGAACAGGAGCGATTGAAGTTCGTGGACAACTTGTACTTCGGGCTTGTTGTAGTCTGGGACGATGTCACTGCCAAGATCTGAGATGCCGAGTAAGGCATACACCATATCTCGGGGGTCTGTGGCTTGACTTTGGCGGAAGCTTCGTAAGAGTGTGTGAAGGTGCTTCTTTTGAGTATTGGCCTTCCGAGACGGACTCGGCATAAGGTCCAGGACCGCCTGGCGGTGGGGGTCGAGGTCGAGGCCGAGAAGCCCTGGGGCGACGGCGAAGGCGTGCGAGCGGATTGAGTGTTGTCCACAGCATATGGTAGCAGCTCTTGCGTTGGCTACTTCTTGAATGATCCAGATCCTATTGAACCATGGCTGGTGAAGTAGGGACGTAAGACCACAACGTTGAATGTCGGTCAGAGCGGCGTAGTCGAGATGATTCTTCTGCTCCACCTCAAGCCACTGTCGACTCAAGAGGTCAGTGTTGGTCCAGTCTGCCGGCTTGGAGACACTTCGTTGCAACTTCCCAAGGCTCTCCATGAGGACCTTCGTCTCGTACGTTGAGGGTCCTAGCCACACGAGAACCTGGTCAGCCTGTTTGTAGATGTCGCTCATCTGTCCAACTTGATGCCCTCGCTCCTGGAGATTCGTCTGGTCGATACAGATGGCGTCAACCCATAGAATCCTGTTCTCCTTGTTGCGGAGGTGCCCGAGAGCCGAGTAGAGGTTCTTGGTGACATGCAGAATCTTGCCATTCGCGGTGATGGTTTCGGACTGGTCGGTACTTCCCCAGGCGTATGACAGGGCCTCGTATGGCATGGCGCTGTCGGACTCAAGGCTTGCTTCGAAGATGTTGCATGAAATCTCACCTGCCATTCCTTGGTGGAGCATCAGTAGCCGGAAGGATCGCCCTGCAAGATCCAGCGGGCTGTACCTGAAGAGCTCCGTCATCTTGAGTGCGGAGTCGACAGAGTCCGTCGACTACTGAGATCTTTGACGAGTTTAGACGTCTCAGTGTTTCTTCCCCGCAGAATCGAAGACGATGACCATCGCGACTGGCATGCCAGGAGACGGCGAATGGACGCCTGGTCGGTTTGTACGACTTTTACGGGGACAATAACGATGGAGCAGGTCGGTTCGTTCTCTGTTGTGCTGCCTGCAGTGGTCATGCAGGTCAGACTAGCTGGCCAATGGGACCCCTGGTATTGTGATCCAACTGCCAGAGCCAGTCAGCATGCGTCCAGTGCTCCGGCATTGGATGAATCTCACCTCGAAGTCGAAATTGGGTCTCGTAGCAGCCCTCAAGGCGGACCGCAAGCTTCAACAAGGACTAGAGCTATCGCGTTTATTCGGGGTGGCTTCTGCAACATCGTGGTTCGGAACGCCCAAACGGGCAGCAGGGTATCAACAGTCGTCACGGATGGCCATCCACATGTGGTATTGGTTCATCGGAACCACGAGATCGTGAGAATTGGCGTATGTCTTCGTCGGGGTCCATCATCAAAGGGTCCGGATGGCATCGGCCTTTCATATGCTCGTGACTCGACTGGAGATGTTCCTGGAGAAACACAACCAACAGGAAGCCAGGAGGCCCTGCATCTGCGGTCTTCAGTGGAGTTCTCCAGCGGGGGAGGGGAACTCAGCAGCGGTGTGGCCGACGAGCGAAGAGCGCTAGAAGTGACAACCGGCAGGCACTGATTGGCGGACCTGCTGGTCGGATCCGGGGGACCGCCCAAAGGGGAATAGCGCTGCGTCAAACAGTGGCCGCGTGCCCCTCCACTACCTCCAGCCAGGTGCCTTGCCCCGTGATTTCCAGGTTTAGCTTTTGTTTTGTTCCCTATTCTGTGTAGTTTAGCAGTATCAAGGTGCAGTGCAGTCTAAACTTGGGCCCTTTCACATGTCAGCTGCCCAACCCCAAACGGACGTCACCATCTCACCTCTGTCCAGCAATTGAACCGAGCCACCGCAGTCGACACGGGACGCTTTTCGCATTGAAACATGTGCCGCCAGCACCCTGGCCCAAGACCCTCTGTCATGAGGCTCTTTGATTGCTGCTCTCCCTCTCACAGCAATCCTCTCTGACCACGAGAGCTCCCATCCCCGCGAGATCCGATCCGACACCATCGTCGTCCACTGCAGCTCTCCGCCATCGTCTTGTCATCCACCGAAAGCTTCCAAATAAACTCCAAATCCCTCCTTCGAAGCAGTCGATCCTTCGGGTGGCGGTCCGTGGTCCCAAGCCGTCCGTCGCTGCACTCGTCGCCAAGCGCTTTCCCGAGCCCGGTCACCTTGCCATGGCCTTTTAGTCTAAGGCTATCGCATTACTCGCGCTGCGCCGTCCCGTCGACTCGTTCGCCGCCAGCTCTTCTACCAGCCACGACCTCGTGGTCTGCCGTGTGCCTGTTGCTTGGTCAGCTCTCGGCTGCCCTCGGTGCTCCAGGCCCATAAGCTTGCAACGAAAACCTACAAACATTCGACGACATCCCTTTCCTTGATTGGAACTGCTGCCCTCGACACAGCATCTTTCAGTCGCCATGATCGACCACGTCCTCGGACGGCCTTCGGTCAAGTCGCGCCGACTCCAGGTGCTGGCCGTCCTGGCCTTCTGGTCGGCCTACATTTTCAGGTACGAGACACATGTCCTCGGAGACCCAATGGTGGAAATACGGCTGACAGTCATCTTTGCAGAGGTCATCCCCATGGCCCTCCCTTCATGCGCTTCCTCTCCAAGCTCACGACAAAACGACTTACAACATGGCAGATAGTCGTTGCCACCATGCTCTACCTATACGCTGCACGTAACTTCAGCACCCTACTCGGTCTCGCGAGTCCCGAGCCCATGTCGAACATGTACGATGCCACCTACTTTCGTGCGACGTGGGTCTTGACTGCGCTTGACGCTGGTTTCTGGACGGCCATGAAGATCCGAGCCAAATGGTTGCGCGACCTTGCCAGCATTGTCTTCTCCGTGTTCTACATGTTTGCCGCCGAGAAGGCCGACGAGAAGGTCCGGAAGGTCCGAGGTATGCTTACTGTAGAGCACTTGCGGGTCTCCTGGAACAAAGGGACCACGCCGTACTTGCGCTTCTTCCAAGGTCTAATGCGACCTCGCTTTTCCCGCTGGCCGCCCCGCGCGATCCGCATTCCGCGCCCAAACGGCAGTGATTATAAGGAGCCAGTATCCGCATGGCTCTACTTCGACGGCCCGCTGACGGACCTCGCGAGGCACAACCGAATCATCCTCGATATTCCTGGTGGAGGATTTGTCGCTATGGATCCTCGATGCAACGACGACAAGCTGTTTGCCTGGGCTGCGAAGACTGGACTTCCAGTGTTGAGTTTGGACTACAAGAAGGCCCCAGAGTTCCCGTACCCGTATGCGCTCAACGAATGCTTCGACGTCTACACCACCATCATCCGGAGCAAGGGAAGATGCATTGGCATGTCCGGAAAAGAAACGCCTCGCGTCGTGCTCACAGGCGACAGTGCTGGAGGAAACTTGGCTACTTCTACGACGCTGATGATCATTGAGCGAACGTCGGCCCCGATGCGCCGTTACGTGAGCACTGGAGATCTGCCCCTGCCTGATGGATTGGTGCTGTTCTACCCCGGTCTCGACATGAACATCGGCAACTGGATGTCGGACGAGCAAATGTCACTGATGAAGGACAGGAAGATGAGGGCTACGAACAAGTCTATTATAAGACGAAAGAGCATGCAGTACAATGACCTGGTTGGCACTCCACACCAGACCGACGACGAAGAGGAGAGTGCCTCCAAGCAAACGACGGAGCTGACGGCGAAGGAAGTTGAGATTGCGTCTTCGCAGGCCCTTGCAAGTCCGCACCCGGAGTACTCGCACAGTGGCCCTCAGGCCTTGTCCAACACGCAATTATCGTCGCAGGATGCCAAGCGCAAGCAGAGCACGTCGCATCATTCAGAGCCTCTACGAACACGTCTTGCCATGTCCTCCATGATTTCTTACTTCAACGACCGCGTCCTCACTCCTGAGATGATGCGTGCCATGATCATCTTGTACATCGGCCCTCACAACCGCCCCGACTTCAGTCAGGATTATCTGCTCTCGCCTGTTCTGGCTCCGGATTCTCTCCTGGCCCGTTTCCCCAAGGTCTACTTCCTAACCGGCGAGCGAGATCCCCTGGTCGACGACACGGTCATTTTCTCTGCCCGCATACGCAAGGTTAAGGAGGCCATGTTCGACCAGGCCCAAGCCGAGAGATCCGACTTTGGCGACGGCTATGAGCCTGTTTTCAACGCGAAGGACGTTGCTGTGGTGACGCTGATACCAGGCATCTCTCACGGTTTCCTCCAGTTCCCAACGGTGTACCCGCCAGCTTGGAAGCTCATCGACAGATCAGCCGAATGGATTCAGGATAGTTTTGCTCACGCCGACGCCGTTCGAGAGCGTGAAAGTCGCGGTCGTCGCCGCGTGGGAGGACAGGCGACGAACGGCAACTCACAAGGAAGACATCACACCCGCACCGAGTCGAGCGGCGATGAGGACCGGCCTCTTGAGATCAGCATGACTAGAGCGAACCGAAGCAAGACATTAACAAAAGAACCTCAGCCAATGCAGGAAGGCGAGTCACTTGTCGAGAAGGTTGAGGCTAGCAACGGGAAGAAGAACGGTAGGGCCAGGGGCGCAAGTAAGAGCACAGGCGCGAGCCTGGTTAAGCTTAAGAGTACAGATGATCTACTTGGAAGGCGCATGCAAGGCCTGGCTGGTGGGTTGACTGGCGTTGGTGGTGAGCATGATTGATGACTACGGGTGTTCGAAACAGGCGCGTGGTGACGAGGTGTTCTGGTACATGGTTCCTTTGTATGGAGAAATATTGGGAGGTCTAGAATGTCTGTAGATTGGATTCGCCAACGAAACTGTACACACATCAGAGTAGGATCAAGCCTTATAGACATGACAAAACCCAACGCATCCCATTCATTGTCCTTAATTAAGAACGGCACTGACCTGGGAGCGTCCAATATTGCGAGGGGGTGTGAATCGTCAGGCTCGCTTTCGTAGGCTGGGTAGTAATTGCGAACATGTGCGAGAGGCCTTACGCTATACTGACGGAAGCTTGGCTACATGTCGAAGATATAAATTCACCTTATCTCCTGCACTAGAGAATAAGAGGGTCAAGGAAATGGAAGATCGGAACGTAAATCATTCGAAGAAGTATGAGACCAGCCAGGTCCATCCAGCCTTGGAGTCGAAGGTGACGTGCCCTGACCCAAGCGCAACAAGACGTTTGTTGAATGAGCCTTAGAGGTTCAGGGTCGATTGCGTATACATGGAATACGTCACAGGAGACGCAGAAAGACGACACTCCCAATCAAATGGTTAGTTTGGTTGACCGGAACTGACCGCAGCATGCGGCAAAAGGGGCACCAGCATATATGAAAGCCAGGTGTTTCCATTGTTGAAGTTCCAAGTTTGCCGGGTTATGGTCACCCAACGAGGCAAAGGACAAATCCACCAAAGCAACTTCAATCCATCCCACTCTTTGGCTTCTGTGGCTTCTGTCCTCGGGTGATTCATACGGCATTGCAACACAAAAGCCTCGACTCTCAAGCACGATGATCCAGCTGCTGGAACATAGTCCAAGACCACTCACCCTATTCTCCACCCATAGTCTATGTGAAGAGACTTCATCACGGTGTTTCTGTGCTTCTGGTACTGGGTTTTCTTCAGTCACGAATACCGAGCCTGGTTCATGCTATACACCTTTCGAGGTGTCAACGATTACCATTGCTATCCCAACTTCCAAGAGTGGCAACCCGACGATAGTTCCGTGCTGGAGAAAGCCATCGGCGACAGGTCATAATTCGAACAACTAGGCTGTATAAATTAAATGTAATCATTAGCTTCTTTAGCCGTCGGAATAATAGGGTGTGATGACCCTAGTTCATGAAATTGGTCATCATTTGATTAAGGTACCCTCCTGGGGAATCTCACAATCTCACAAGCAGCACATTATTGGGGATCGGATCAACAACAGATGGCGTCTAAGTATCTCCTAAAAGTGGTTTTCATCCCCGCCTCCAGAGTATTCTGCCCATGTTCTGAACTCGGCGCCCTTACAATGATGTTAGATCTACCGAAATGGTTTGATACCCTCGTAGGAGTGGATGTGCACATGCGTACAGTCACACAACATGAATGGAATATCTCGGTCTATGAAGCAAGTGGTTTCTCGTGGGTGGTGTTCGAGATTGATGGCGGTCATTACTGCCATTTTATAAGACCTGTAGTCTAAATCACCCTTGCGTCGCCTTCCTATATTGTCACGGATGTTGAGTTGTGATTGGCTATGAGGGTAGTATATCTCACTTGCAATTTGCTGCGACGGTGGGATGACGAAAGACGAATGTGGTCCTCTTCCTCGCTATTGATTTTTCATCGTCTTCATATACGGCGTATTGGCCGATTTGATGCAGAGGGGGCCCTTCTTGAACTTGAACGTTCTCAAAAGCCTTCCTAAATCGTGCAACAACGTCTGGGGCGCCTCAGTAATAGTCGACGAACGGGCAACTTCTTGGTGTCACTGGTGTATCTTGGGCTTGGACTCGCCATCTATGATTCTACCTTGCTTCATGTTCTACAACATATTGTTATGTCGCTCCCCGTGGACACACATGGTCAGAACCGTCCGCGTGTTGAGACAAATCCGACATGAAAACCTACTTAAAGGTACGAAGTAAACTTGAAGCTTGGACAAGAACAGGAACCGATAATGAAGCGATAGACCGCCACAGAGTTCAAGAAAATCATGATCACTTTGTTCTAATACGTTATTTCAATGCGTTTTCCAGTGCGTTGGAAATGACACGTTTCCTCTCGCGGCCTGTCATGTAAAGAATACCGTATGAATACCTCAGAACTAGGCGTACAGGAAGAGAATATCGTGTTCAAAGCCGAGCTCACAGTCCCTCAAAATTGACACTTTACTATGGCAAATTGGCAATCATATTCCTTCGCGTTCGTTGCTGATGGCATATACATAAGCAACCTAATGGATGTTTGGTTGTGTCTGATCTGAGTAGCACAGCTCATGCCTGTGCCCAGATGTTGGGCCTCATCGTGGGGCCTGCTCGGTCAAATGTTTTGTATATAAGAAGTCCCATCAGCTCAGTCGCAAGAAAGAAAGACACAACAAATGGAGAACGGGTATCCACTTGTGAATAAGTCTCATAAAGATTTTGGAACCGAAGATCAGATTGACCTTCAGCTAAGAGAACAGAGTCGTCTTCCAGATCTTGCAGTCAGTTAATGCACTGCATTATGCATACTGCGCGGAATATGCTACAACGGACGATACCAGACAAGAAAGGGTAAATGAAGTCTACTATAGATGGGTGCGACCTGCTGATATAAACCGCAGCTTGTCCTACATGCGGCAAATGTGACACAAGAAGGGAGATACACGAGAGATAACAGGGCAGTAACCCGATGGCACCACGCTGACTAGTGTGAGGTTTACTTGACGGAGGGACGGACGGTTTGGCGTGATGAGAGACATGTGCAGTATTGCGTCCCTTCACGCTATGAGTTGGTGCCTTAAGAGTTGCTCTCAAGATCGAGAGTCAAGAAACGTTCCAGAATAATGTGTCTGCTCCCGGAGCACAGGAGACACTATCTGTTGAAGAGATCCCATAAGTCGAAGGCACCCAGTTGCTCCTGTTTACTACGGTCATTAGAGCACGCCGTCAGAATCTAAAAGGGGGCGTCGAGCGGTGCTTGCAACAAGCTTTTGGAACGAAGCCTGAAATCCGGAGCGTTGTTTAACTCATGGGGTCTGAGCACATTAATCATTGACAGGGCTGAGCCGAAGAACGCTGGATACAGGTAGTGAAACGAAAATGGATCCCTCGCCTTTCGAGGTGTTGATATAATATGAGAAAGAATAAACCTCTCCAAAACAGCCGCAAGCTAGGAAGGATAGCCAAGGATCCTTCTGGAAACCCTTCTGGACACGCCGAGTTGCCCTGACATGTGACGTCACGAGAGATATACACAGCATTGCATGTTATGATGTTCATTCAAGGTATAAAGGAGGGCCCTGAGATATCTTACAAGGTCTGGAAGCAAGCCCGAATCGAAGGACTACGACGAAGGAACTCTTGGAACACAAGGCCTCCAATGGGTTCATGAGTGATGCCTGCAAGCGAAGACCGCGGAACAAGAATGGACTCCACGCATTTCAAGCACCAACAGAATGCGAAGCAGAATAATCAGCTGACAACAGAACCACAAGCTGGGGAAAGTCTCCAGGTGCTTCTAAGTGATTGGAGGACAGTTCTCGGTGGTCTCACATGGCGGCTTCCTGGATACTTGCTCCTGTGTTTTCCTTGTCACCAACTATCAAAAGCTACCTGATTTTGCTTGTTTGGCCGTTGAGATCTGTATCGCCGGCGCCATCAGCTTTTATATGCGCTCGAAAGCTCTCGCGCGGGGTTGGTGGAGCACGTTGCTAGCCATTCTGACGGCCTTCGAACTGCCGCATCTGCAGGGTATAAAAGACATTTGACCAACCAGCAACTTAAGTGGCAGACCGAACAAAATGTGTCTGGATCACTTCGTCTTTGGAATCGAATTCGCCTATGGTTCATTGGCGGTACGTTCATCAACCGACGCGATCTGTGATCACGACGGCTACGGCAGAACTTCGGCGAACGTCCGTATGCGAGCGGACTAGGTACTCGACGAGGTGGAAAGGTCGAGGGCGAAGGAAAATGAGAGACGATGACCGCACTTTGATTCTAGGCTCGGAATATTTGAGGAGCTTGGAGCTGCCAAGGTGTCGATACTGACGAAGTAACGACGATAACGTCAAGGATAACAATCATGAGAATCTGGGGAACGCTCAGGAGGACACCGACAACAGCATCAACGACGACGATGATGGCGAAACCAAGAACGACGAACCTCACAAAGTCAGGAATGGCAACAACGATATCAAGGAGCCTTCACAAGAGCTAGAAGAACCAAATACGAAGCCGTCCTTGAATGTGTTCTATTGCAAGCCGGTCATCCTCTTTCCAGTCAAGCCTCAGGTCGTATTCAAATTGTCCCACCAAGACTCGGAGAACGCCAAAATCCATTCCCAAAACTATTCAAATCACAAACCTCTCTTTTGCGCCGCGAGGCTTTCCATTCTTTCCTCCAATGCCAGCACGGCCTTATGCCTAGAAACAACCGCCTCAATCTCCTTCTTCAGCTGCGTCTTCCGCTCCTCAGAGCACCAGCTGGCCTCCACCGACCCAACCGCAATGCCCTCCCACTCCTCCATGGTCAGCTTAAACGCCTCCTGCACCGCAAAGTAGTTCTCCAGAATGTACCCGCCAAAGTACGCCGGGTCGTCGCTGTTGATGCTGAACCGCACCCCCTTATCCAGGAACTCCCGGATGGGCAGCTCCTTGATCTCTGTCACGCCGCGCAGCACGACGTTCGAGATGGGACACAGGCTGAGCAGCGTCCTGGTCTGCGCCAGCCGCGCCATGAGGGCCTCGTCCTCGTTCGACCGGCGTCCGTGGTCGACGCGCTGCACGTCCAGGTCGTCGAGCGCCGAGACCACAAACGCCGCAGGGCCCTCCTCCCCCGCGTGCGCCGTGCGCCGGACCCCCGCCTCCCGGGCGGCGTCGTAGATCGGCTTAAACATCTTGGGTGGGTACGGCGCCTCGCTGCTCGACGCGCCCACGCCGGCGATGGTCCCGTCCGCGAAGTGGCCCGCATCCTTGGCCTCGAGGAACATGCGCAGGCCGTCCTCGACGGGGCAGTGCTTGAGGAAGCAGACGATGTACTCGATCGTCATGCCAAAGTCGGCCTCAGCGCGGCGGCGCGCGCGAACGAGGCCCTCGACGACAGTCTCGTACGAGACGCCACGGCTGGTGTGCGCCTGGGGGTCGAAGAAGACCTCGGCATGGCGGACGCCCTGCAAGTTTGCCTTTTCAAAGTAGGCGTACCCCAGCTTCTCGAAGTCTGTGACGGTGAGAAGCACGGAGAATCCGATAAAGTAGTAGTGCAAGAAGTCGTCAAGGGACGTGAAGTTGCGGTACCGCTCGTACAGGGCCTCGACACTCGCGAAGGCCGGATCCTTGTCAGAGGGCAGGGAGATGTTGTTCTGTTCGGCGAGGCGGAACAACAGCTCAGGCCCCAGCGAGCCCTCGATATGTATGTGGTGCTCGCATTTGGGTAGATCGACAAGGAAATCGTGGAGCTTGTCGTTGCACATTCTGCGTAGACTCGCCTTTCCCCCTAGGCTGAAAGGTGATGGATGGGTAAGTCGGCTTGAGAGGCTTGCAAGCTGCTGCTGTTGCTGCTGCTGTGAAGTCGGCGCCCAAAAAGGTTGATGCGGTGGTGTGTGGTGTATAATGGGATGTTTCACCTCGAAAAGTTTGCCCAAGTGTCGACGTTTCTGCCTTTGTCGTTCACGACCAAAATAGATCCTGTCGAAATTCTAGAAGTATTGAAGACGAACGCACGGCTTGGTGCCTCTTTTGGTCTTTTTGGCCCTTTGAAAGTTTCTCAAAATCTTGCATCATGATTTGGTGAAGCGTTTTCATCGTCTCCATCGAGCTATCGTTACGTTATCAATCGGTCGCCCCCTCGATGAGTCAACGGTCGGCGACCGCCGCGTCTCTTTGACGGAGGCCGGCGAAGCGTCGCTCGCCGAGGTGTCGACGCGCTTGCATCGCCGCTTGACCCTCTCCGGCGATGGCTGATCACCTTGTGGCCTGAACACGCAATGTGGATTAATAGTTGGAGATATCTAATCCGTCCTGCAACGGTCTTGACGGGTATCGACAATGGCGAAAGGAGGCTGCCCATTTCGGGCCGGAGAAACAAGCTTCCAAAACACATGAAGCATTGTTCAGGCTTGAGTACAACGCGAGAACGAGGCTGAAGACAAAGGTTCCCCCGGTCAAGTAAGCTTCCCGTGCCACGGATCCGGACGCGAGCATCGCCAGAATCCCCAGCAGTTCAGCCGTTTCCCTATTGCGAGTGGACCAGTTTTCCGGGCTCGCGACGGCCTGCGGCATTAAACGCACGACCAACGAAGCTGTCGAACGACAAGACGGTTTGAAAATATCCATGTGAAGCGAGCTAAGAGTTGCATCGACATGGGAAACATGAGATGAAATGTGACCTACGACGAAACAAGCTCCGCAAAACCAAGCACATCGCCCGCTTGTCGCAACGGTCATGTCGCAGCCGCTGGCATCGGGGCAGCATCTCACGTCTTACTGACTGACATTTACAGATTACATCGCCTTCCGGGAATCCGTGAGCCGACATGGCATGTCGCAGAGGGCAGCAGTTGAGTATCGAAAATGTCGACAATGACGTGCATGGTCGGGAATGCCTCGTCGAAGTATGTGCGACTCACTCCACAAGCGGCTGCTCTCCGGATGGACCATTGTCAAGATGATGGACGAGTAAGCCGCGAGACAGCTCGGGCTGCAATCCTAATTCATCTTCGCCTGGCTCTGCACGTTGTCGCAGGATCTTTGTCTTTGTCTAGTCACTCAAATCCGCAAGAATCATTGCTGTCCTCATGGAAGCTTGCCATTGTAAGGTGCAGGCAGGAGGCACACCCAGCTTCAATCCGCCATCCAACTTGTCAAGATCCTAATCTGCACATTGCCGTGCCTGGTCGACTAGTGACCGGTTGTCTCTCGGATCATCCCATGCAGGATTCAATTCCATGGGCGGAAATGGCTTGTCTCCAGAGTCCAGACCTTTCCCATTGCTTTTTCTTGTCGCAGAAGGCAGAGGTCTCAAGAACCTGCCGATTCCCCGGTTATTTTTCTCGGGGGCTGACGTGCTGGCGGGAGTCGGCGCCGCTGCTCCCCAAGACCACTGGTTAAGCCTGCCGTAGGGATCATCCCGGGCCTGGGTTGGACGTCAACTGGTCGTCGCGAGGGCTGATCAGTGATCCCAGTGTTTTGACTGCAGGGTAAGTCGTGGGCCTCACAGGGCAAGGAACGTAGGGGCAAGGGACGTAGGATGAGAAAGAAAGGAAAAAAAAACACCGCAGACGACAAGGGTACGGTGGGCAGATCCGTCGGGTCGTGGGACGCGAGGAACGACACCCGATGGATGGGTGGCTTGGTCAGAGTGAAGCAGTGCAGCTTTTTCTCGCATCGTTGAAACCTCTGGATGATATTCCCAAGCTTGTCAGATGGACGGCCGCACACGCCTCCTCAGGCTGTTGCTCCGAAGGATGCAGCGGACAGCGCCCTTGTCTGGTCTGGTCTGAGCCCCCTCGAAGGGTCTCTTGGCCCTTGACATGCTTGATTGTCAGCCCCATCCATGCTGGCACGGGCAATCCCATGGTGTCTGTGACGTGAGCCGTCGCAACCATCGATCTCCAACCGAAAAGAAGCCTCCGCCAGCCATACCTCCAAAAGCTTATCGCCAGAAATAGCTCCCAAGACCGTGTTTGATGGGAGGATGGGTTATGCCGTCTTTCGTCCCTTCATCCCTTGTGTGTCTTTTAAGCTTGTCATGGCCGTTTCCGTGCGCGCACCTGATGCTTGTGCGCAACAACATGACCGTTGCCCACGTTCGTGTCGAGCCTTGTATGCGTGTTCTAATTCTGTCCGTTTGAAGTCGGCAACCACCATCTTGTCAGACTTTGCATCTCTATACCTTATCCAAAGATTTGGGATGTGACTGCAAACCTTCTTCTTGAAGATCGACAGTACGCCTCGGTCACCACGAGGAATTCAAACTTCCTACCGACGCTCCCGTACTCCGTGCTGGACCCGTCCCGGCGTCCTCCCGCCGTGTCTGCATCCAACCCGCGGGCGAGGATGCTCCTGGGTGGCACCCATGCACCCCCACCGAGAGGAATGTGGGAACCATTCAGACAGACCATCTGCCCCAGCTTCATGCAAGTCGGCAAGGGCTTCTCTGGTCACCCTGTTTCACACGGCTTGCAGACCGCCTGTTGGCAATACCCAACTGCCGCTATGGAGTCAAAACCTCTCTCCGCATCATTCTTCGGGTGCGGTTACTCTTAGTTGATGTTCGCCAGAGACACGAACAGAGACACGGGTTGAGCTAAATGCCCAGCGCTCACTGATAGGGTGTCTGTTGGTATCGCTTCCGGCAAAAATTGCGAACTCACAACTTCCCCTGCAGCTTCCTCTGAATTGAGCTGCAAGTATGCTTTGCCCTGTTGATCATGTTGATCCAGAAGGCTATGGACCATCACGCTGGTCGTTTTGCGCATGTTGTGTCGAGTCTCTCTCTCTAATTAAGTGTGGGCTGCCACATGGAGCTTCCGTCGCACGGCATCGCGCTGTACTTGGTCGCGCACTCAATTTAAGCTATGCGATACGATGTTGCCAGCACCCGTTATTGTGTCCCTCGCAGACCGCGACGGCCGTGTTACGTCGCGTGCCACCACGGAAGAGTCGATGCTCCGCGGTCCTCGGCACAAGACACGATGGCCACGCGGGCGCCATCAAGCCATGACATTATCCAGTACCGCCTGGATTGGTGGAAAGTGGAAAGTAGGTTGCCAGTTGATGGGAGATCCATAGTCCAAGCTGAGGTTTGACAATAAAGTCACAACCACCAACGAAGCCGTCTTGTATGCGGGGTTGCACACCACTTCTGCCTTGCCTGCCTCGTAGATGGTGATCACGCTACCCAGGACGCTGTTCCCTCCCGGTGGAAATACCGAATGACACCTTAAGTCCCAGCGACGGTCGATGGCGTCTCCGCGGTCCCGTGATTGACCGAGTCGGGGCCTCTGTGCAACTCGGGCTGCTGCAATGATGCTTGCATTGTAACACGCGCTGTACTTGGTCCGTTTCGGTGCTCCAAGATGGTGTATTTGGAGGGGGCGGAGGATGTGCCAGTTTGGACACTAGAGGCCGTGCCGGTGACGGGATGCTGCCACAGCTAAACTCGACTCTGCTCGGTTATCACCCAATCTTCTGTGCGCTAAGAAGTCTAAGGAATCAGATAAACTGGCAGCGGGTTGGTCTGTAATAGTAGATTCGCTTCGCGGATGGAACCTGGCAAGTCACTCCTCCGGGCTGTCATGTTTCATCAGGGCCGACAAGCCTTGAGCTCGAGCCAGCTTTTCTAGGTACGCCAATCGCGCCAGCAGCATGGCAAGTGTGGTCGGTTGTGGGCGGCACCATGGAACGGTCTCGAGGGTCCCGAGAACTCTGATAACCAAAGTCAGCATGCCAAAGGCAAGCAATGCTGTTGTCTGTGGGCATCAAACACACGGAATAGCAACGCGGGAGCATCGTCTATCCATGGTTGAATCAGCTATTAATACAATGAGCGTGCGGAGCCGATCTCATCCATACAACAGGCAGATTCGGCCTTCGGTTGGGATAAGATGCGATACGTCGGCTCCACAGCTCCTTTAGACCAAATCTCCTGTGCTTGCAGACTCTTGCCTATAACTTCATGCTGTTAATCTGCGGCAGAGGAACGATTGATGTTGGCAAAGGGGGCGGGGGCGGAATGGCGTCGTTAATGAGCGTTATATCGAACCGGTCCCGAGCTAGCGCGGCCGTCGTCGGTCTCGTGCACAGATATAGACTTGCGGCAACGTCAGCATCTCCATCCGTCCCCATTCCACATGGCACTGTTCGGGCTCCATAATCCATCAGATTGCAAAACCCCTGGTATCATCGTGTCTTGCTGACCTTGTTCCTGGTTGATGTGTAGCCGCCATGACCCGAGCAAAAGTCTCCTGCATCGGCTCCCAAAGGCAACAAACGATGGCGATCTAAAGGTACTGTACGAGTCGAGGATCGCGTTACATTTGCTGCAGCAAGCTCGCTGTGCCGGCCGGAACGAGTCGTGCAACAGGCCCCTTCTGCGTACGACTGGCAGCCATGTTTGTGAGCACCTGTTGTGCAACCATCTGCCACTGCTCACTGATCTGCGCTTTAGTCACGCAATCCTCTACCGTGGCTTGGGAAGCTAGTCAGGACGCACGCCAGCTGAGACTGCCTTGGGTGCCCTGGGCTGGGGGCGAGACAGGCTGGACGGGTAGAAGCCGGGAGACAACCGGAGCGCGGGAGCCTCAATTCCTGCGGCCTTGGACCTCCTGCATCCTACAGATGATCGGCTTGCAAGAAGGAAGAAGCATAAGATGTCTGTCCCTAAGGTGTTTGGATCGCTAGCTTTTGCTGTTCGTCCTGCGCATCAAAAGGTAAACCCCGCGTCGCAGTGGTTGCTCAGGTTGGTATTGCT